CATGACTGAGGGTGGCATCGCACCTCCAATTCGCCCTGCTCTGTGCATGACAGGGGGCGGCACCCAACTCCCCAATCAGCCCTGCTCTGAGCCCGACCAGGGGCTGCACCTAGAGATTGGGCCTGCCCTCTGCCACCCAGGAGCAGGCCTAAGCCAGCAGGTCGTTATCTCCCGAGGGGTCCCAGACTGCGAGAGGGCACAGGCCGGGCTGAGGGACCCCCCTCCCCACCCCCCTGAGTGCACAAATTTTTGTGCACCGGGCCTCTAGTCCTATATAATAAAAGCCTAATATGCAAATCGACCAAACAGCGGAACGACCAGTGGAATGACCGGTTGTTATGACACACACTGACCACCAGGGGGCAAATGCTCAACACAGGAGCTTCCCCCAGCCCGCAGGCCCCAGGCTAGCCAAGGTGGGTTCCAGCGGGGGTGGAGGGTTGGGGTGGGGGGAGGAAGGGGCACTGATCGCCCTGCCAGTCGCCTCACAGATCAGCCCTGATTGCCAGCCAGGCCTAGGGACCCTACCCATGCACACAAATTTTGTGCACCAGGCCTCTAGTTTTATATAATCATTATACAGATAGACTTGAAATAGAAATCACTGGTCCATTTACCAATTTAAAATAAGCAATAACTAATTAAAACTAAGTAAATAATTAAAATTAACCTGCCTATTGGTAAACTAGTGAAAGTAGCAACAACAGGCCAGATTATATGACCCATGCAGTTATTTTCCGGGTGATGGCTGGCATTTTGAGATGTTATACTAACTTTCCACACCATGAAGTTACCAGTTTTTAGTACTTAGGACCCAAGTGTATTAAATAATAACCTTGTGGTTTAAAAAAAGTAAGTTATCTTAAACATATAAACAACAATATCAACAAAAACCTAATGTTAAGAAAGTTTATCCTTCAAATTCAAAGGAATAGATCAAATGAAGAAGTATTAAATTATTCAAAAGCAGGACTGTTTATAAGGACAAGTACATCAGGTATATTATGACAAGTTATCTATATCTAACCATCCCCCCCCCCAGATTAAAACCAAAGAAAATGTTTTATTGGAAAAAAGAAAAACTATATCATTAATTTGTAGAATAATTAAAAGATGGCGCAAGCCATTGGGAGAGGTTATGGACTTTTTAAAGGGATTTCAATCCTCATGAAATAATTCCAACATTTAAAGCAAAATACAGCTTATAAATTGATTCAAATTATTGACATATCTCACAGGCTAACCATCAGGAAGTTGTAAAATCTGAAGCCTAACATTATATAACGAAAGCTATTCCACTGAATAGGAATGAATAAAAAGTAACGATGACAATAAACAACAAGAGCTAACATTTCCTGACTGATTACTGTGAGCCAGATGCACTGCTGAACCTTTTATGTGATTTTCCCATTTAATCCTCACAGTTACTTACCTAAGAAGTAGGTATTTTTATTGCCTCATTTCCCCAGTTGAGAACACATAAATTTACTGCTAGTGGCTTCCTCATCCATCAAAATAAGTAAACCTTTAATACACTTGATGTGAACAAATAAGCATGGCAAATATCTGTCTCATGGCCTTAGCTATGTCAGGCTAAGTATTTCGTTTCAATGAAGTGTGAAATGTGTATATTAATTTTCATTCTTTCCTCAAAGGCAAAACAAGGGCTGGTCAGCAGTAATCTGCCAACTACTCAAAAATAATTACACCTAGTTGAAAAGTTTATAACCTGAATCACCATCTCAGATTCAAGCCATCCATTTCCCAATTAGAAATGTTTAGTCTGTAAAGTTAGAAATTGCTGCAAGCAATGAATCAAACTGCCCCAAAATAAAAAAGAACAACGTGGTGTGTTTTCCTTTAATGTAAAGATTTCAGCATGAATCTTTTTGGTAGTCCTTCTTGTGTTGCACTTGACGCATGGCTTTCTGAAGGTTTTTACTTCTCTAAGGGGATGGCAGGAGGGGGGGAAAAAGCAGAATTTAGCCACCTCGTTGCTTTTGAAATTCGGCATACAAAAAAATCAAACTACATTGCAAAGCTTCGGGCTGCGTTCATGCAAAGGAAAATATCAGTACATTTAAAAAATGTATTCATGCTCCATTTGGTACCTTATTCCCAAAGTATTTTCCAAATTAAAATGAGAAGATTAACTGAATTCGAGAACAATTTCCATTAAAGTATGAAATGTCAAATGCAAAAGGAATTGCTAGACTAAGAGGCTGGAATCATGCAAATTCACAAAAACCTGTTGCGAAAATAATCCAAATGTCTGTACAGGGACGCATGGAGGCACCTCGGGAAGAGACGGGTGGGGCTCACTCTGAGGCGCCTGTAGACCCATGGGGGTCGAAAGTAGGGACAGCCGGACTGGAGGTCTAGAGGTTAGAAATCCAAAAAGGTGTCAGCAGGATAATGCTTCCTCTGACACTGAAGGAGCTTTGCATGCCAGGTCCCGGGAGCAGAAGTCTGCAGCTTGTCTTGTCTTCTCAGGACTTCTGCTCAACCCAGGCCCAGACTGGGGCATCAGCACCATTAAATCCTTCCCCTCGGAGGCTTTCCTGGCTCAGCACTGCGAGGCCGTGGAATTGGAGGACAGCGACCCCGAGCCTGGAGACCTCTTTCTGTTCAAGCTGCTGTCGCGACCGGACGTCGGTGGGGGCCCACGTGGGTGTGTACTGTGGCCACGGAGAGGTCACCCACTTCGAGGGCAAAAATTCCGGTGGCCACCTGACTCACACGTTTCTAGGCTCCTGCGAAGAAGTCATTGTCTGCAAACAGGGGTGGAGCCACTGCTGCGCTCGGGCTCCCTGTGGCTTGTGCTGTGTAAACGCAGCCACGTGGACCGCCACGCACTGGATCGCTGCACGCGAAACCCTGGACGGGGCCCTGCCTCCCCATCAACCTACGTGCAGCACCTGTGTGCACTTCGAGCTGCAATTGCTCAGTCTGGGGCCTAGCCTGGACCCTTCAAATCAGTGGTTCTCAACCTTGGCTGCACATTAGAATCACCTGGGAAGTCTTTAAAATCCTGATTTCTGGAGGATGAGGCCCAGAAATCAGGATTTTAAAAAGATTTAAAAAGATTCCCAGGTGATTCTAATGTGCAGCCAAGGTTGAGAACCACTGCTTCAAATAGATCCACCTCCCATTAGCTTGGTGTCGGTGGACATGGGTTGACCATGGACTAGTTTGACCACAGGCCCTCCAGGGTGCACATGGAGGCTTCAGAAATGGTCAGTAAACTATGTTCCGAAGGTGAAAAAAAGTTATATATATATATATATATATGGTGGGAGGAGAAGACAATTCATAAATATGCCAATGAGCTGTAAAGAACTATAGAAATGCAACATTTCACTATGTTCAGAAACATGGATGATCCTTTTGTTCTGTCTAGTTTAATAAAGGCAATGACAGACAATCCAAATAAGATGCAGGGTGGCCCCCAAAATGTATACACGCTTTGAATGATTATAAAATGTTTATGAACATAAGTTCATTTTCAAAATTTAAAAGAATCTACAGAACTGAATAACTTTCTTGCCAATGCCTGTTTTCAAACTGATGATCATTCTGGCCCAGGCACTGCTGATAAAGCAAAGCAATGGAATTGCAAACATCAAGAATCATTTTGTTAGGTATTTGTGCACCCTAAACTTGTCGACTGTTACCGGTTTTGTACGCTAAACT